GCGTGGTGGGGCAGCGGGGCTGCGGCTGGTGAGTGCCTGGCTCTGGCACGGCGAGGGGCGAAGCGGCTGTGGCCGGGGGTGATTATCAGCGGCGAGCGCAGAGCAGCCTTGGCATCCGCCCGCTGCCTCTGTGCTGTGAAGGACCAGAGAGACCCCAAACATCCCCCCGGCGCGCGGCCACTTCTCCAAAACCTGGACGTTCAGACTTCATTTGAAACTTTTATATTTCCTTTGCAGAGATCCCTTGGGGCATTAACGAAATCAATGTTTTAATCCCTCCCTGGCTTACCCTCAGCTGCCTGAGGGCCTTGGCATCCGCCCGCTGCCTCTGTGCTGTGAAGGACCAGAGAGACCCCAAACATCCCCCCGGCGCGCGGCCACTTCTCCAAAACCTGGACGTTCAGACTTCATTTGAAACTTTTATATTTCCTTTGCAGAGATCCCTTGGGGCATTAACGAAATCAATGTTTTAATCCCTCCCTGGCTTACCCTCAGCTGCCTGAGGGATGTTCCTGGCAGCGCGGGGCAGCCTGGGCCTGGCTCCCTGCCTGGACGGGCAGCGGGCAGGGCTGGGCCATGGGGACGAGCGGTACGGCCACGTGGCCAGTGTCCTGCAGGGTCACTGGCCCCGGGAGGGTCAGGGGCTCTGACCGCAGCCCGGCAGGACCAAAGGATGGGGCAGGAGGTGGGGACACGTCGGTTGGGAAAGGCAAGAGGCAGGTCTGGGGGTGCCCCGCTCCAGCTCTCGTGCTGGACGCTGCCACCCCATCTCCCGTCTCAGTTCCCGCTGCTCCCTGCTCCTTTCCCGGCACCCCTGGGCCAGGCAGAGCGAGGGGTGTGGGGGGTCCCGCTCGGAGATGGGGGGCTGGTGGGCAACCCCAGCACCTTCCCCCTTGGAGCATGAAGTTTCTATGAGAAGCAAATGGGAAATGAGCTCCCCGGGGGCTGAGCCCTCCGGGGCCACCAAGGGAAGCGGGTGCTGATGGAGGGGAACCGAGGGGTCCAGGCGGGGGGTCCAGCCCTGCCGGGATGTCAGGGGGAGCAGGTTTCCCCTCGGTGCTCCCTGGGGACCGCACGGGTGGGTGTTTGCAGCTGGGCAGCACCCCTCAGCAGCCTGCTCCGATCTGCCGCCGGAGGAGAGCTCCCACCTCTCGCTCAAGGACTCACAAGCTGCCGACCGGTCACTGTGACGGGAAGCAGGGGCGGAGGGAGCTGCCGCGGCCCC